CTTGTTCCTTAACCCCCTAACACCTTCAGTTGCCAGAGGCCTTCTATGTGCTAGCCTAGAGTTGTGGGTTAAGGTGGGGAGAGGCATGGACTTCCTACAAGGGGAGGTAATTATAAGGGGCTTGACTTCTACAGGAGAGACCCTCTGCAGGACACGGTGGGAATATCAGAAGGCCGTTAGCATAAAACCAGGAGCTATGTAGCTTGGAACTTTCTTTCTTTCTTTCTTTCTTTCTTTCTTTCTTTCTTTCTTTTACTTTCTTTCTTGACAGAGCTTCTCACTGTGTTACAGACCAAGTGGGCCTGGAGCTTGCCCACAGTCCTCCTGCTTCCGTTCCCCTGAATCGTAGGACTCGGGTGTATACCACCATGCCCAGCTGTTTGGAACCCTTTGATGATCACCATCTATTATCCAGTGGTGTATTTAATCTCTAACAGGGTTCCTCTGTGGAGGACTCTGGAGGAGAATATTCTGGGATTAATTTTAATCTTGTTGGAGGTAGTCCCAGTAGATAATCAGCTAGCTGTCTCATTGTTTGATGATGCCCTGGTGTTCTTCAGCCAGGCGTATTTTGTGTGATTTCTGCATGTCAGATTAAGAAGAGAATTTAGTAGTGATGATGGTGATAGCCAATATTTTGAGACACTTAGTAGAGTAATATAATGGAATTATTGGTATAAATGACACAGCTGAAAATATATAACTTTAATTGATTTGGAGAAAGAACAAAGACTTGGGTATGTGGATTTTATTGTGTGTGGTCTGAGGCAGGAACGCAGGGACTACATTCTGTCACGAAACACAGATTTCTTCCCCTTGTGCGTTTTAGCCAACAACTGCAATTGTATCCCCAGAATCTCAGACATTTCAAATTGAAAGAGTTTTCTACTCTAATCCAAGCCTCTCATTTTACAGCCAAAATCCTTAGGGCCTGAAAAGCTAAGTGACTGTTTCAAGTTGACTAGGTAGAACAGGTTCTAGGTCCCAGGTCTCAGGGGCCTGCATCCTAAGTGATACTCTTGGCCACAGGAGAGCAATGAAAAGCATGGGAGGCACAGCCTAGGCCTTCAGCATGGGTGGAAATACCAGCCAAGCAAGTCTTAGAGTCCAACAGCAATGCTGAGAGCTCCCTTAATGACCCCATGCTGGACATTTGGCAGCAACCTGCATTTTCTTTTGGATGATATATAGATGACAAATAGAACTAACTATCAGTTACAGCACCAAAATTTACTCATAAAATAGCAGGACTGGGGTATAGGGTAACCCACAGAATAAAGACTGATATATGGGAAGTCCAACTCAATGGAGACAGGTGGGGAAAGACTGGTCCCTTCCTTCACACACCCAGTCCCCCAGCCCCCTGTGACTTGTTTTCACCATCTGAGACTGCTCAGGGCTCATTCCAACTGGATTTCATCTGCCTAGAAAATGGAGTGGGGGAGCACTGAAAATAGTGTTGAGTTCGGTATGTCTTACATCTGAGTAATAACCTAGCCAGACCTTGAATAGCTTCCAATATCAGATGAAATCCAACATATTTAGGGTAGTATGGCTATAGAATCTAAGTTTGATAAGTCTAGACAAAGTTTAGAATATTTAATATTAAGTGACAGGTCAGATTTGTAAAAAAGAAAAACAGAGATGAATGGAAATGGATGTGAAGAGCTTTGTTTTGGAATTTCCTGATGATTCCTAGTTTAATACCTGCATAGACTGACAGGTAGGTAGGTTGGTATTTATTGTACAGACATACACATACTTCTAAAGTCCTAGACTTGATACACTGAGGCCTACTTCTGTGTGTAGCTGTTCCAGGCCCTTCGTTGCTCAAGTATTCTCATCTCCAAGTTCCTAAAGTACACAGAACCCTAGCTTGTTTTCCCCTTGGTTGTATTCAGACAGTACTTAATTGTAGTTCTGTGCCATGCCAAGCACCCAGTCAATAGTCGGCTGCTTAAGCCTGCTAGGATTTAAGGGTTGCACTCCTCAGGGGCATGCAAAGCTGACTTGCTGCTCAGGACCCTTAGACTCAAGCGTTGGGCCAAGGCTGTAAATTTGGGTCATAATAATTGTAAACCATCCATGGAATTGTCTACCCTAAGTTAAGTTTTAAAACCTTGTCATTTTTCAAGGGTTGAGGAAATTAATTCTTTGCTGCATTTGCTATTTAAAAAAAAAAAAAAAAAGCTGTAGGAGAACGCCATCAATGAAAGTCCTCTCTAAAGTCCTGCTTATCTTTAAAATAATTCTGTTCCAGAAAAGCTCTCCTTCCACTGAGAGCATGTCATAAACCTGAGGGGTCAGAATGCTCTGTTAGCTCTTTCCATCTGGGGACCCACTCATCTGACTGGTTTCTCTTTCCCCTCTGGTGGACAACATACATAGTTGTGTTTATTTTGACTGTACTAGATTTTAACTTTTTTCATATATTTTGTTAGTTACTATCTTAAAGCCAGCTATCATGAATACATTCATGAAGTCTGTCTATCCTTGTGCTACCAAGTAATGAACCCAATGCCTTGCACGTTTTAGAAATATTCTACCACTGAGTTCTACCCCTAGCCCTTAAAGCTTTTTTTCTAACAAAATAGCTAATGATAATAATAGTGGGTTTTGAAAATAAATTAAAACACTCTTATAAGTAGCAGCAGAAGCATCTTATACTTGACAATTGATGCTTCTAGCATCACAGAGGTAGGTATATAGTATTTCCTTATGTGTCACTGGAAATTGTACAGTGAAATCATCTAGAAATAACAGTGGTATAAACTATTCTTTCACATAAAAGGAATCCCCAGACAGATGGCCTAGGTCTGATATGGTAGCTCCACTAAATCACCTTCCAATCTGTTGGTTTTAATAGACTTATAGAGTTACTCCAAGGTTTTTTCATGGCCCAAGATGTCTGCTGGAGTTGCAGCCATGTTGTCTGTATTTCAGGGAGGCAGGAAGAGAAGAGGGCAGGAGGGCTGACTACCTTTTAAAGGAGTTTTCTTAGAAATGAAACCAGACTTTTAGAATTGGCCAGGATTTAGTCAAATGGACTCACCTAGCTGCAAGGGACCCAGGAGCATGTCAGTTTACTCAGCAAGACACATTCCCAGGGGAAAATGGTTTGTCAAGGTTTCCTCAAACAGTTTATAGGAAGTTTAAGCATAAATAGACTTTAATTGATGAATATAGTAAACACATCCTATAAGCTTTGACATTTTGCCTTTCAAAACTTGGCTATGATTTTATCATTTGTGCATATACTTGATATTTTAAAATATTCAGACAATACAGACTATAAGAGACTTTAGATAGGTTTTTCCAAGGAGTACATGCTCTGGAAGATAATTATAGGGATGACTCAGGTATAAGAAATGATTAAATTGGACTGGGGTGGTGGGGTCAGTATCAAAGACTTTACAGACTCACAGAATATGTGTGTCTGGAGGAACAGGCTCATTCATTGTTGCTATGGCAGGCTCTATTTTACCAAATCTTCTGGTTTGGTTTTTTGTTTGTTTAGTTTTTTTGTTTGTTTGTTTTTTAAGAAAAAAACGGAAGTATAGATTTTTGCTTGCAATTTGATGTTTGACAACTAATAAACATACAAACAAAACATTTCTCCCTAAAAGCCAGGCAAAGCCAGGCATGGTGACTCGCATCTATAATCCTAGTACATAAAAGGCTGAAGAGGGAGGACTGCCAAGAGTTCAAGGCCAGCCTGAGCTACAGAATGAGATAATCACAACCACCGCCAAAGTCAAGCAAAGATAACACCAGGCCATGGGCCAGCAGCTTAGATAGATCTTGAGTCAGGACTGTGTCTTGTTTTCATCCTCCAGCTGAGCCTTTGGGCCTGGTGGGCCCAGGTGGCCTGTGATGTGGCTGGGGACACTGATCTGCAGTTCCTACCTCACCACACCCTGGCCCTTGTGGCTAATTTGTCTTGGAATATGAAGAGCTCATACGAACGTGAAGTAGAGCAGGGTCACTGTGAAGGCTAGTGAGCCTCCCGTTAACCTGCTTTTCATTTTTTCCCTCAGTAATGTTAGTGTGGTGAATTAGAAACAAGTGGAGGTTGGATACCTACTCTGCCTGTATACCTGTGATTTGGGGAGAGCCTTTAGTGTCTTCTGTGTTTGACCTCCATGCTGTTCATTTCCTTGTTTACTTCTCTTGGTGACTTTCCAACAGCACTGTATCAAGGTCTCTGGAGTCAGAAATGAGCATTGGCCTTTCTGCCTATCTGTCTTATGACCTTGGGCAAACTTAATCTTCATAGGCCTCAGTTTCCCCACCTGTAAAATGGAATGATACTTACATCTGTCCCACAGGGATGGGAAGGAGTAAATGAATTAATATTCATGAAGAACAGAGCTTTGTGTACAGTTTGCTGTTCTTTTGTATTTTTGGAGACTTGTCTTTGCACTTTTTACTTCCCTTGGCTCCCATCATGCCTGCTATTGCTGTATGTCTGGGAGAAAGGGCATGACTCACTTGCTGTACTGCCTTGCTCTAAAGCCATCTCATTTATGTCATATATCACATCGATGACACCTGTCCTGTCTGCATTGTTCAGGATCGTGTTGTGGGATAAAGAGTAAAAGTAGCTTGAGTTTGCTGCAGTCAGAAGAAACATGGAAGAAACATGTCTCCGGAGCCCCGGGTCTTGGTGGGGTCACACTGCCCCCCCAGCCAGTTTGTGAGAACGTACAAGACTATGGCAGACATGCTAATTAAAGAAATTGCCCTTTCCTCTAAAGACTTTAAGTGCAGAGAAAGGAAAAGTAGACTGTTTATGTTTCAATTAAAACAGGTTATTGGCCAGGCATGGTGGCACATGCCTGTAATACCGGCATTTGGGAAGCACAGGCAAAAGAGGGTGCCACAAATTCAAGGCCAGTCAGTTCGGGGTACTGGATACCCTGTCTCCAAACAACACAAAAAGGAAGGATGCTTTCTTGTTCTTTAAAACCTTACCTACATCTGATTCTCTTCACTTTTAGGTTAATTTGAATGCAAGATCAGATCTGATTGGCCCAACTGTTCAACTCTTCAAGGAAAAACCACATTCTCTGTGAGAAGAATAACGACATAGGTATGTCCTGCTAAGACACATCTTGCTTTCTCTTCACCGCCCTCTGCATGATAGTAAATAATGAATGGTTGTTGGGAGGGAAGGATCCTTCAGTGAGTTACTAGACTTGACCAGCAAGGATTCCTGTGTTTCATTGTGTGACAGGAAAGCTGTCATGGGCAGCCTCTGTTCTCACACCAGAGAGGAGGATAAAAAAACACACAGACTTTATTTCTATTTTACCAGCACATATAAGAGAAATTTGGAATTTCTGGTGGGTTACACAGAGAAACTCTGCATTGAAAAAAAAAAAACCTTAAAATTGTGTCAGGGATGTTTTCTTTTTAATTAATTAACTAATACTATTTATTATTATTTATTATTGATGAGACAGGGTCTCGTCCCAAGCTGGTCTTGAAAATGGCTGTGTATTGGAGGACATCCCTAACTTTTTGAACTTTTTTCTAAAGCATTTATTTTATGTGTGGATGTGGACAGGCTCACGTCATAGCATGTGTGTGGAAGTCAGGGGCCAACTTGCTAGAGTCAGTAATTTTTCTCTTTCCATCAGAATCTTTCGGATTCTGGGGACCAAACTACAGCCATCATTCTGGCCGCAAGCACCTTTACCCGATGAACCATCTTGCTGACCCTCCAGCAATGATTTAGTACTTCTTTTTCTTTTTTGTCTTGATGACAGAAGGCCGGTTAAGAGGCTGTGATCTATGATCTGTTCTTACCAAACTGAAGACCTTGCCAGAGATTTGTGTCACTTCAATTTTAGAGGAGTCTCCAAGGCCCCTCTGGACTTGCTGTAGGTCTCAGGGGTCTTCAGACTGTTATACACATTATGGAGACTTTTTTCACCCTACCCATTATGTCTCCATCATTGGCTACCAGAGTTCTCATAACTGTTTTTAGCAGCGGCTACTTAAAATTGGTTCAGGGAAAGCAGTTACCATAGTTACCAGGGCTATGAGAATTACATTTTCTTTCTTTCTCTTTCTTTCTTTCTTTCTTTCTTTCTTTCTTTCTTTCTTCCTTCCTTCCTTCCTTCCTTCCTTCCTTTCTTTCTCTCTTTCTTTCTTTTCATCTTTCTTTTTTGTTAGTTTCTTGCTAGCCTTCCTCTGACTCCCCATTTCATTGCATCTTTTTTGTTAGTTTCTTGCTAGCCTTCCTCTGACTCCCCATTTCATTGTGAGACAGGGTGTCATATGGCTTAGGCTGACCTCGAACTCCTGATCCTTGTGCCCGCTACCCCTCAAGTAGTAGAATTACAGGTGTACATCCCCATGCCTGGTTAGTTGCCCTAATCCTTAAGGCCACAGCTGATTCTTTGTTATTCTGTAGAACATCGAGGGAAAGACTAGATTTTGTTGTTGATGTCTGGTCTCATGTGTTTGAAGTGTGTGTGTTTGCTTTGTATACAAAGGGAATACTTACCTCAAAAGTATTCCACTTTGTGGGAAATTTGATATGCATGTGTGTTTTCTGTATTGCAATCTTAAATTTTGGTCTAGTGGTTGAATTTGGTCTGTCGTTGGCCCAACTTTTGGACTGGTAGCTGCATTCAGGTTCCTCCTGGAGGAGAAAAAGTGTTTTAACTGACTAGGACCATTTCACAGTGCCTGAAAGCCTCAGGAGCCTTGAACCACCTGACCTAGGCTAAGTCTAAATAGAATTCCTCAGTCCATGGACTCCGTAAGCAAATGACTGAGAAGTGGGGCCAACACACAGCACAGCTTTACCTGGTAGCACCCACAGTCCCATGTTGCTGTTCGAGGCTGGAAACAACACTTGACACACCTGGTGCCCAAGTGCCATTATGTCTCCAGAGATTTAAGTGGCTTCCTCACGGACATCAAAGCACTTCCCGTAACCCTTCCTAACTCACCTTGCTGTCCCCGCTCTCAGAAAGACTCTTACTGTACAGTTTCCAATGTGTTCATCTTGAAACTGCTCATGAGATTACAGTACCATCCTTAGTCAACACTCAGATGTTTTTGTGGTAGGGGATATTGGCTGGGCATTGGTGTTGTCAGGTGATGATGATGGGGGGGAGGGTCTGTGGAATACCCTGTGGGCATGTGTAAACCACATTCAGAATGGGCCACGCCTCTGCAGTGGGGTGGACTCCATGCTCCTCACTCTGGCCATGTTTGTGAGCCCAGATCTGTGCCTTTGCTTCCTAGATCAAGATGAATGCCATGCTGGAGACCCCTGAACTCCCCGCTGTGTTTGATGGGGTGAAGCTAGCCGCCGTAGCTGCTGTTCTGTATGTCATCGTGCGGTGTTTGAACCTGAAGAGCCCCACTGCTCCTCCCGACCTTTACTTCCAGGACTCCGGTCTCTCACGCTTCCTGCTCAAATCCTGTCCTCTTCTGACCAAAGAGTGAGTCCACTGCCCTGCCTGTCCCCTCCTGCTGTTCTATTTGACCTAGTGCAATGTTCAAAGAACCTTTCCAGCCGAAGGAGATTGCTTATTGGGAGTGGGCTTGCTTGGCATTCGTGACATCCTGGGTTCTAGTCTCAGCACCGCAAAGAAAGCAAGCAAGCAAGGAATCTCATATTGTGCCTATAAGGCACAGATGGAAAATGGCCTCGTTGGTGTTAGAAGCAGTCTTGGTAGTCGGATAGTGTTTAGGTAGTGAATGGTGGGTGAAAGAGTTGTATCTCTGTTGCTTAGAAACATCCTGTCCTTCACAGCATGGTGTCCCCATCATCCATTACAAAGGACTTTTCAGAAAACAGTAGACATTTTTAGGTAGATATGAAACCCTGGGGAGTATTTTAACTAACTCTTGCCACTCTGAAGATAGAGAAGCCATCCTTATCCAAAGTCACCGAGAACCACAAAGGCCTTGTCGTGGGGTCCTCTTTATCCCCTGGACATCAAAAAGTGTCTAGACAACTAACCAAAAGAACACATTTGAAGGGAGTGCCCCTCTGACTCTGGGCCATGCCTACATTTTGGAGGGGGGTGGCATGTTTTCGAGAGAGGAAACCATGGCTGTGGGATGAAGGGAAGCTGCGATCGATCAGGATGCACAACCTGTCTCCAAGAGATGCAGTGTTAAATTTCCCACTGATGTCTTCAGATTAACTGGGTCGTCCTTTGGGGCTCAACCAAGCCAGAGGCAGAAAAACTCCATGTCCCCCCTTTAACTGACCAATTCCCTCTTTCCCTTTGTGCATCTTGAAGCTTAGCTTCATTCATCCCTCCATACCTCAAGGCTGGGCTGAGGCTGTGCCTTAGGTGTCTCCGTGAAACTGCATCCTCGGCACATACCTAGCAGGTTTCTAACACTTGATGGACAGGGAAGAAGCTCCTCCCTCTTCTGGGAAATTGGTGACTGAGCGCATGATTGTCTCAGACTTCTGAGGGCAATAGGCATCTAAGAGTCTAGTTCTTGTCTTGTGCAGTCTCGTCATTTAGTTGATTTTCAGAGGCTAGTAGCCATGGCGGAGGACCTTCTGGTGGGCCTTGGATGTTTGGGGTGGTCTCCAGTGCAGTGTCTTATAGCCAGGACTATGACGCCGTGGCTCTAGATCTAGAGATATCCTCATTGAAGGATGTGTGTACAACATAAATATCATAATTGTGTTTGAAACTACCCTTGTAGTTGAAACTACCCAGTAGGCACGACACACTAGGTGCCATCCTAGGATTTGGTGTTCTTATTATATGACAATTGCAGTTAAAATCTATTCACAATATGCACAGTAACTATGTATTGAAAAAATTGTTCAGCATTTTACCCTGTATTTTCAATTTTTCTCTTGTATTTCCATTGGATAACTCACTAATTTAGACTAGCCAGTGACAGTTACAATTATTTTCAGATTCACTGTAACCACCAGACCCAGTTCCTCAGTCATCTCATTTGTAAAGAGCATTTGAAAACCAAATTTATGCCAGGTGGTGGTGGCACATGCCTTTAATCCCGAGACCAGCCTGGTCTGTAGAGTGAGTTCCAGGACAGGACAGTCATAAAACAAACAAACAAAACACACACACACACACACACACACACACACACACACACACACCCCAAAACCAAAAACCCAAATGTATTGTATAATTTTCTTGTCATCAAATGCCTGACTAGAAGCAACTTAAGGAGAAGAGGTTTTACTTAGCTCCACAGTTTGAGAGGGTACAGTCCATCTTGGTAAGGAAGGTATGGGGGTGGGGACAGCTTGAGGCTGGAGCAGCAAGTAGTATGAGGTGGCTGGTGTCTGCAGTCAGGAAGTAAGATACGGACTCAGACCACCCCCATGGCCCTAAGTCTGCCATCTAGACTTCATGTCCAAAAGGTTCCACAGCCTGCCAGAGCAGCAGCACTGCCTGGGGACCAACCGTTTAAATAAATGAGCCTGTGGGAGGACTCTTCCCTTTCAAAACCATAGCACCAAAGTGTTTGGAACCCTGTATGTTTATATGCAGACCAGTGTAAATTTGTACTAAGGCTTTAGAGGGAGGGTCCATGGGAACACTGCCCAGGCTCCAGAAAGATGCTGTCAATTTTTATTCTGCACTGTTTGTTCAAAGTGTAACTAAAACCAGCTTATAGCAGGTCTTAACTCTTTTTCTTACTTTTCTTTTAAAATTAACCCAGACACATTAAGTTCTACAATCTCCCTTTGTGCTCTCCATTTCCTGGCTCCTATTCCTATATGAGCCTGTGGTGCTGACCTAGGGACTGCTATTGAGATGGCTGACTCTCGCTTCCGGTGTGGTCAAATGCCCCCTCCATCCTTATGGGATGTCATCTGAGCCAGTGGCATCAATACAATATCCCCAGTCACTGATCTGTCCCCAGGCTTTCTTCCAACATGGCCTAGATTTGGAAGGTGCCGGATGCCCAGGTTAAGGCAGAACTCATATTTGTTTAGGAATTAGCAACAGTTGAAAATGTAGGCTTTTTAGGTGAAAGGCAAGTTCTCCAGGAAGCATCTGTTTCCAAGACCTTTCTCTTTGTTTGCAGGGCCAGCTCACTTAGAGCAAGTTGGATATTATTTATTATGTAGTGGAATTCCAAATGCACAAGTCTCCTCTAACGTGAATATGGCAAATGATTATGGGACAAAGGATTCTGTGCCCCCTAGGTTTTTTTGTTTTTACCCATTGTTTGTCTTTATGGTTAGAGTCTGGTACGTGTTCATGTGGTGTTTGCAAGCCATCCTGACACTCTCTCTTTGGTACATATCCCTGTGTTTCACATTTAGCACCTCTCAGATACGTTCTGCCACCAGATTCTCTGTTGTTATTTTTTTTCCTAGACAGGGTCTTGCTATGTAGCTCCAGCTGTCCTAGAACTCATTCTGAAGCCCATGCTGGCCTCAAAGTCACAGAGAATCTGCCTGCTTCTGCCTCCTGAGTGCTGGGATTAAAGGCATGCTCCATTATGTTCAGCTAATCCTCTTAAGGATTTGGAAGCCAAACTCATTTTTTTCTGTCATTTTAAGGATCGGGAAGCAGGACATGGCAGTGAGGGCACCTAAGAGAGTATAGTGTCTGGAGTGGGTTCCCTTCTTATCCCTTGGTGGAGGTGGACAAGGTACAGGGAAAAGCACAGAAAGCACAGACAAGCGAGAGGCTAGCCCAGGGAGGGTTGTTAGCAGGGTTTTCCCCATCAGGTGGCCTTCAGTTCCTGCATGTCTATTTCTATCTCTCTGGTGGAAGCTGCTGTCCTCTCATGATCTTTCTCTGAGTCACATTTCCGGAATGGCTTCTCTTGTGTTTGAAGTTGAGGGTAGGAAATGGCTTTTGTGGGTAAAAACTTCTCCTGGCACTTTGAAGTTTTTTTCCTAGGAGGAAGCTGTCTCTAGGTTCCAAAAACACTAGCCTCTGCTGGAAGGTTCGGGTAGCTGATTCACAGGGAGTTGCCCCATAGCCCCACTCAGGCAGCTACTTACTATGACTTTCTTGCAAATCCAGCAGACCCTCTTGCTGGGCCCAGAGAGGAAATAAGTTGAAGAAAGGTGAATATTCAAAAAGTAGAGAGCCTTTTCCTTTTCTTAGCATTAAAGTCAGCTTTTAAGTCTGATTTTAAAGTAATTGACCCAAAGGTACATCCCAAATGAGTTCTGATATCTGGAGGAAGATTGCTTTGGTGGGATGCTGTGCCTCCTGTTCACTTAGCAATACATTAATATTTACCTAGCAGTTCAGGAAGGGTTTGCTTTTAGTGAAACAAGCAGACCAAAGCTCAGTTAGGAGCAATGAGGGGCTTTCTGGGTGGTGATACAGGTCTCCATTTTCTTCAGAATAAAAAGTAATGCATATTCATTTCTAAAAATATGAAACAAAGCACATAAAAAACCACCTGTAAATTCTTCTAATCAGAAGTGGTATACCATTGCTGTTTGAGTGAGATCTCTGGGGTCTTCCGTACATATGTGCCCTCCACTAAATGAGGATGGTATAATTTCTGATTTCTGATTTCTCCCACCCCTTCCATGTGTGTGTGTGTGTGTGTGTGTGTGTGTGTGTGTGTGTGTGTGTGAGAGAGAGAGAGAGAGGGAGAGATGTTCGTGGGGGGATGTATGTGTGTGTTCAAGCACACATATGTGTGTGTGCATATGAAGGCCAGATGTCAATGTTGGGTATCTTCCTTGGTCGCTCTCCACCTTTGTGTTTTGAGACAGGAACCCTTGCTGAACCTAGATTTACCAATTCAGCTAGATTGGTTGGCTAGTGATCCCTTGAGTCTACTTCTTTTTATCCTTCTACCCACATCCCTAGTGCTGAGTTATATATACCTGCCTCCACGGCTTGGCTTTTATGTGGGTGTTGAGGATCCAAACAAAAGTCCTTGCATGGTAGGCACTTTATTCACCTAGCCATGGCCCAGCCAACTAAAAGAACTCTTACAACAAAACCTGAAACCATATCAGATGCTGAGAAACCTTTCCTATCTTACCTGTTTCCTTTTAGACACACCGAACCTTCTTCCCTCTCCAGCACATAACTCCTATTTCCATTTGTGTCACTTTCCAGCTTGCCACTGGAGTACATGCACCACAGATCAAAAGCCACCTCTTGACGAGACAGAATAGGACCGTTGGTGCTCCCAAGCCTTCAGTATGGTAGCCTCCTGTCTCTTATTTTCCATAAGCAAGTGTAGGTGAGATGTTCACATGGCAGATGCCATCCATGTTGGCCAAGAGAAACCAAGAAACTGCACTGGCTCCTATTTGTCCAGTGGTGCCCCAGGGACTCAGGTGTGCCTTTAGCACTGACAACACTGTCTGCCAAGAAGGCTCTGTCCTGTCTCTGAAAGATGTGTTTTGTTAAATGATTTTTCTGGTCTTGAATTAGTCGGGGCAGCTGTTCCCAAGCTTTTCCCTGGGGCCCTGGCTGAAGTACCTGATGGCAGGTGCAGGCAC